GTTTTGTTGCATTTTACCCACCGTAATAGATGATTGAATCCCCTATCCTTGCACAAACCTTAGGGTTTATCATCCACTCGAATCCAATAGTGAAAGAATGATGCATGAAAATTTGTCATATATAAAAAAATCAATGATATATGCAAGATGATATCCTATGTTAGGCAAAGATGAGCAGGCAAAAGAATGTAGATAACCACAAGCAGTCGAACGCAAATAATTGAAAGAAACTAAGAGATTTACATTTTGCAAAAGAATATTTGTAAAGAAAGATACAAATTTTTGGCCAACGAATATCATATTCAAGACTTTGGATATATTTGCTTCGGAATTCAATATTGGCAGAAGTATCACAAATAGGAGGAAAAAGTCTAAATGAACCAGGTCACCAGCTGTTCCCTCTCGTGCTCGTCTGTTGAGAAAACCTGCCTTGGCGCCCTTTCGGGTTTTCACCAAAGTTGCCCCCACATTTTTCTTTTTTTTTTCTTTTTCCTTTTCTTTTCTTTTTTTTTCCGAGGCGCCCTTTCGGGTTTTCACCTAAAGAACAATGAAATATCTCGACCATGATCGACTCAGAAACATGAATTAAAGATTTCTGGCATCAGTAAAATGTACTTCCCTTATGAGATTAGGCGAAGACATTACGGACATCACCTGCCAGTTGATTAGCAAATTTTCTAATAGAAATGCAGCAAGTGACGAAAGCCAGGACTTTGGGTTTTGTAATGAGGTCAGGTGGGGTGTTTTTCAAGAAAAGTTGAGGCTTGAAAGCAGATTTGATACAAGGGGTGAAATAACTTGAGATTGCACTATTTTGAAATTGTCTCCGATTTTGAAGAAACTGAAGAAAATTTGCCCCAGTCCAATAGGATTTTCTCTTTTTGCATTTTTTCATTGCTTTTTCCTCACTTTTTGCATTTTTCTTTGAAAACTAAATTTGCCCCAGTGTGGGGTTTGCAATTCTCAAGGGTTATCAAACGAAATTTGTCAATTCTGATAGCTCAAAGGGGACAAGTAGAGATAAAATATTTTTTAGTGTAAAAGAAGATGGCCTGACTTGCATTTCGCCATTTGCATGAGTTTCTAAAGAAAATTTGCATGATCAAATGAAAAACTTTTTTCACATATCTGAGTTGATGGGTTGAGGGAAAGGTCGTCCATCCATTTCTACCAAAATAAGAGCTCCGCCAGGTAATACCTTTTGGACAATGAACGGCCCTTGCCAATTTGGAGCAAATTTGCCTTTAGCTTCATCTTGCATTGGCAAAATCCGCTTTCGTACTTTGTCACCTTCTTCGAATGTCCGCCGGTGGACTTTTTTATTGTAAGCCCGGGCCACACGTTTCTGATAGCACTGACCATGACAGATAGCATTGAATTGCCTTTCATCGATCAAAGTCAATTACTTATGGCGCTGCTTGATCCAATCAACCTCTTCCAATTTAGCCTCCATGAGGATTCTTAGCGACGGAATTTCAACTTCAGCTGGTAATACAGCTTCCATTCCATATATGAGTGAATATGGCGTTGCCCCAGTCGATGTCCGAATAGAAGTCTGGTACGCCATCAATGCATAAGGCAACTTTTCATGCCAATCGCGATGCCTTTTGTCATTTTGCGGATAATCTTCTTCAAATTCTTATTTGCGGCTTCTACAGCTCCATTCATCTGAGGCCTATAAATGGCAGAGTTGCGATGTCTGATCTTGAACTGCTCGCATAGTCCATCTACCATGTCATTGTTCAGATTCTTGGCATTATCTGTAATAAGCGTTTCGGGTAATCCAAAGCGACAGATGATGTGATCTCTCAAGAAATTGGCCACTACCTTCTTCGTGACATGTTTGAATGATTCCGTTTCAACCCATTTAGTGAAGTACTTAATCGCCACCAATATAAATCGATGTCCATTTGAAGCGGGAGGATCGATTGTACCAATTACGTCCATACCCCATATTGAACAGGGCCATGGGGCGGTCATGCTATGCAATTCAGTGGGTAGAGCGTGTATAATGTCACCGTGCATTTGACATTTTATACATTTCCGGACAAAATCTATACAATCCTGCTCCATAGTAAGCCAGAAGTATCCGGTTCTCATGATTTTCTTTGCTAGCAAATGGCCATTCATGTGAGGTCCACAAACGCCACTATGCACTTCTTTCAACATATATTGAGCTTCATCTTCATCAATGCACCTTAAAAGGTTCAAATCCGAGGTTCTTTTGTATAACACTTCTCCATTTAAGAAAAATTTTGAAGCCATTCTACGCAAAAAACTCTTGTCCTTTGTATTAGCATGCAAAGGGTAAGATCCTGTTTTGAGAAACTCCTTAAGATCATTATACCACGGAACATTGTCGAAGGACTTGTCTACAACCCAACAGTGGGCAGGCTTGTCTTGAAGTTGAATCGGAATTGGCTCGATCCTCAATTCATCAGGATATTGGATCATAGAAGCTAAGGTGGCCAAAGCATCGGCAAATGCGTTTCGGGCTCGTGGAAGATGTCTGAACTCCAAATTTCGAAATTGCTTGGCCAGAGTGAGCAGACTGCAATGATAGGGCAGAATTTTTGAATCTTTGGTTATCCACTGTTTCAAGGTTTGATGCACGAGCAAATCTGAATCACTGAAAGCTATCAACTCTTTGATTTCCATTTCTAAAGCCATTTTGAGACCAAAAATGCAGGTTTCATATTCGGCCATGTTGTTTGTGCAAGCAAATTGCAATTTGGCAGCGGCAGGGTAATGCTTCCCTTCGGGTGAAACCAGAACAGCTCCAATTCCAACTCCGAGAGAATTCGAAGCTCCATCGAAGAAAAACCTCCATTCAGGGCTTTGCTCACTTATATCATCTGTAGCGCCTACGAATAAAACTTTCTCATCAGGGAAATACGTATGAAGTGGTTGATAATCATCATCCCTTGGATTTTCGGCCAAATGATCAGCTATAGCTTGCCCCTTGACAGCTTTTTGTGAAGTGAAAACAATATCGAACTCTGAGAGAATTATCTGCCATTTTGCCAGACGTCCAGTTAACATCGGCTTCTCCAAAAGATACTTCAAAGGATCAGATCGGGAAATAAGATAAGTGGTATGGCTCAACAGGTAGTGTCTCAACTTTTGGGCTGCCCAGGCCAATGCACAGCAGCTTTTCTCAATGAATGAATAATTAGCCGCATACTGCGTGAACTTCTTGCTTAGATAGTAGATGGCTTGCTCCTTCCTTCCAGAGTCATCATGTTGTCCAAGGACACAACCAACTGCTCTTTCAAGCACGGATAGGTACATGACTAATGGTCGACCCGGCTTCGGTGGCACCAAGACTGGTGGATGCAACAAATAATCTTTAATCTTGTCAAAAGCCTGTTGGCACTCCTCATTCCAATACAACGGTACATTCTTTCTCAATAATTTGAACAATGGCTCGCATGTGGCAGTTAGCTGGGCAATGAACCTCCCAATAAAATTGATCTTCTCTAAGAAACTTTTCACGTCCTTCTGAGTTTTCGGTACTGTCATATCTCGAATTGCTTTGATTTTTACTGGATCTATCTCTATGCCTTTCTTGCTGACAATGAATCCCAACAGCTTACCCGCGGGTGCTCTAAAGGCGCATTTCGCAGGATTTAGCTTCAAATTGTACTTCCGCAACCTTTCAAACAATTTCTTCAAATCAACCAAATGGTCCTCTGCCCTCTTAGACTTGATTATGATGTCATCCACGTAGACCTCCATCTCCCGGTGGATCATATCATGAAACAAGGTGGTCATGGTCCTCTGATAGGTAGCCCCGGCATTCTTTAAACCGAAAGGCATGACTCGGTAGCAAAAGGTGCCCCAAGGAGTGATAAAAGCAGTCTTCTCCCTATCTTCTTGTGCCATCAAAATCTGGTGGTATCCAACAAAGCAATCACAAAAAGATTCAATCTCATGCCCGGCGGTATTGTCCAGGAGAATGTGAATATTTGGCAGAGGGAAATCATCTTTAGGACTGGCCTTATTGAGATCTCTATAATCAACGCAAACTCGCACCTCTCCATTCTTTTTTGGAACAGGGACTGGATTCGAAAGCCAAATTGGGTAATGGGAAACAATGATAACGTTGGTTTTGAGTTGTTTTTCAATTTGCTCTTTTATTTTGAGGCTCATATCTGGTTTGAATTTTCGGGGTTTTTGCTTTACGGGTGGAAAAGTAGGGTCTGTGGGCAATTTGTGCACTACAACATCAGTTGAGATGCCAGTCATATCATCATAGGACCATGCAAAGACATCCTGGAACATAGTCAAAAATTCAAGCATCTCCTTTTTCTGCCTCTCATTCAAATGAATACTAATTTGCACCTCCTTAACCTCATCCTCAGTGCCAATGTTAACCTTTTCTGTTTCTTCCAGGTTCGGTTTTGGTTTCTCCTCATATTGTTCAAGATCCTTTGCAAAAGAATCGAATACCTCCTCATTATCACTCTCGCTTTGGAGCTCGGATTCACAGACCTCTAAGTCGTGAGTGATATAGAGATTGCCATTATCGAATTCCAGAATTGTGATATCCAAAGGGTCAAATAGTTTTATTTTTGGCCATCTGAAAGAATTAACGAATGTGGGATAATAAGCAAACAAACATACAACAAACAAATGAACAATCAATATGAATAAAAACAAACGAATAAACCAAACAATATGACAAGAACAACTTGTGCATTTTCATAAAACCTTTGATTGAAAGCAAATACTAAAGAAAGCAAGCGGAAATAAATATTTACATGTGTAAAATTTAGTCAAAGGTAAAGATGCTTTCATTAGCTATTTACAGATGCAAAAGTATTTTCATGAATTCGCATGAATGACAAATCCTTTTAGGTTTACCGAAACTCCTTTCGAATGGGCAGAAACTCGGCTATCTAATTAGAAATTGATCTTTCAGGGATGTCGGGAAACTCGGCCTCATCTGGGAAACTGTCTTCAAATGTTGCCCCAACGAACAATTGGGCCAAACTAGCTTAAATTTCGTCGACCGGGTTAAGCTCTGACATGATTACCTCGGTTGGTCGTGGAAAAGTATAATGCAGGGGTGGAATGTCAAGGGCCATTTGCCTTCCTTCTTTCTCCGCTCTCTTTCGTTCCTTCATTTCTCTAATGTCTTTAGCAGTCGGTCGGAAACCCAAACCAAATGAATCCTTTTTCTCCACAATCTCCACTGGCTTCCGAATTCCTTGCAAGTCTCGTCCCAGCCCTTTGTCAAATTCATATCCTCCGCGGATCATTTCCTTAGCCATCATGACACTGGCCTTTGATAGAGCTCGCTCCTCCTTTGTTATCCAACTGACGGAGACAATATCAGCCGTGCTATAAGGGGTCACGGTGGCATTTCGGCTACTCTCTTCTTTGGACTCAGAATCGGTAATTACAAGGCAATCCTCCTCGGCAAAGATAGTTATCAGCTTGTCATTTACTACGAATTTCAGTAATTGATGTAATGAAGGAGGCACAGCCCCAGACTTATGAATCCACGGCCTTCCAAGCAGAACATTGTAAACACTAGGAAAGTGCATGACTTGGCAGGTTATTTGAAACTGGGCAGGCCCCATCTCGACGACTAAATCCACTTCTCCTATTGGCTCTCTTTGTGCTCCATCAAAACCTCGGACTACGCTCCCTGAAGGCCTCAGCTTTATGTCTTGCAATCCTAGCTTTTCCAAGGTACTCCAAGGACAGATATTAAGTGCAGATCCATTGTTAATCAAAACCTTCGGCAGCATTTTCCCGTTGCACCTCACAACTATGTACAGGGTCTTGTTATGTCCAATGCCTTCCGCCGGCAATTCATCGTCTGAGAAAGCAATTTGCTTGGTGAATAACACATTCCCAACTACATGTGAGAAATTATCAACTGAAATGTCCTTAGGGATTCGAGCTTTAGTCAACACTTCAAGCAATGCATCCCTATGCGTGTCTGATGAAAAGAGCAAATCCAACATGGATATTTGTGCGGGCGACTTGCTTAGCTTCTCGACTATATTGTATTCACTTCTCTGGAGCCTCTTAAGAAAATCCAATGCTTCTTTCTCGGTGATTGTTGGCTTAGCAGGTGGCTCGGAATTACTTGCTTGAAACGGAATAGCAGCTTCAAATGGACTTGCATCCTTCCCCGATCTGGTGACCGCTGACACTTCTTCCTTCGCAATTAACTTTTCTCCAATCTGTATGACAGGTTCATCGTAGTTCCATGGCACTTGTTGCAGACTCAGGACAGGCTCCTGCTTCGGGAATTCGACGACTATTGGCTCCAAAGCCGCCCTCTTAGCTGGCGTGAGATCCAAGATAAAAGGCTTTTCATCCTCTTGAAATGGCAATTCTATGACAAATGGTTGGTCCGTGACCCCAAACACTTCAGCTTCCCTTACCATCTTTTTGACTTGTTCCACGTACTCCGCGTCGTCCAGAATGACCCCAATGGTATTAGCGTGTTCCGGCAAGGGGTTCCTATTTACATTCGGCCCTTGTGCCTCCCTCTTTCGGATTACAATCTCCCCGGCTTCAACCATATCTTGAATTCTATGTTTTAGAGCCTTGCAATCAATGGTTGCATGTCCGGGGGCCCCTGAATGATAAGCACAGACGGCTTGTGGGTTATACCACGCGGGCATGCCATATGGATAGCTAGGAGGGGGTACCATACCAATTTTTCCGGCGGCCTTCAACTGGTCATACAATTGATCCAGAGGCCTGCCTAAATTGGTAAATGTACGGCTAGGGGTCGGTTGTAAGGTTCAGGAGGTTGAGGATGGTTGTAAATAGGTCTATTTGGGGGAGGAAATCTTGGGTTATATGGAGGGCGAGGTCGGTTTTGGGGTGGATTTGGTTGAGAAATTTGAAAAGGAGCTGAAGGTGGGTTAGGATAGCTTGGGCGACGTCGTGGGTGGTGGATGTTAGTAGTATATACAGGGTGCGGGTTTGAATAAGAGTAAGGTGGTTGGTAGGTTGGATTGTGTTGATATCGGGGTCTAGGCGAAGAGTTTTGGTTCCAGATAAAGGTCGTATCCCCCCTCCGTCTTTTTGAACTGCGATTTTTTCACATTGCTTCCTTGCCCTTGTAAAGCATCCAACTGGGATTTGAGAGCAGAGACATTAACAATCTTCCCAGCTCTTACAAAGTCATCAAACTCCTCAAGTTTGTTTACAATTGCAGCAAACGAACATCCGGTCATACAGAAAATCTCTTCAAAGTACGGCGGATCATGTGCTTTTATGAAAGTACGTATGATTTCGTCCTCGGTCATCGGTGGCTCCACTTTCGCAGCTATCTTTCTCCATCTTTTGGCATATGTCTTATGATCTTTAGATGGTCGCCTCTTCGTTCCTTCCAAAGTAGTCCGGGTTGGCGCCAGCTCGCAGTTATATTCGTATTGTCTGATGAAAGCGTTGGACAGATCAAGCCAGGTCTTCACCTCCTCTGGCTTTAAATTTGAGTACCAATCGAGGGCGTCCCCTTCTAGACTCTCCGGAAACAACCTCAATGGCAAGTTCTCATCATCCACCGGCTTGCCCAACTTGTTGGCAAACAAACGCAGGTGTGTTTTAGGGTTGCTTGTTCCATCATATTTGTTGAACTTAGGGGTCTTGAACCCCACCGGCAGTTGTACGTTTGGAAACAGGCACAGATCATCGTAATCTAACACCCCTTGTTTGCTTAAACCTTGGCTTTTCCGGATGAATTCATCGAAACGATCCAAGCGTTTAAGTAACTTCATATCAACCTGGGCAGACGACTCTCCCATTTCTGGCTTGTTTTGAAAAGTGTGCTCCGGTACCACAGGCTCTGCGGTAGTCTGATAAAAAACTGGTGGATTTAGATGCATGTTTGGATCGCCTTGAGGCTGAAATCCTTGCCCATAAGGAGGATAGAACGGAGGATTTTGAGTGTAAGCGTATTGCGGGTTGACAATTCCCTCAAACGTGGTTTGAATTGGAAGAATAACAAATGGTAATGTGGTTTGAATTGGAGGAATAACAAATGGTTCGGATTGTGGCTGTGTGGCGGGTACAAGTTCAGGTTGCACTCCGCTACTAATGAGCTCGTCAATCAACTTCTTCTGAGCGGCCATTTCAGATGCCATTTCTCCAAATTTTGTGAGTAACTCTGTCAACTGAACCCCGGGACTGGCGGCTTCCGGCTGGGTAGTTGCAACGGCCTTATCGGACGATTCTGGTTGAGTACTCATGTCTACACGATTCCTTTGGGCTTTACTTCGGGATCGCGTAATAATGGGGCTTTTCCGAAAAGCTATTTTGAAATTTTACCTGAGAATGCAAAAGACTTCTTTAGATAAACCAATCGTTACTGAATTTCTGCAATCTATTCAGAAGAGAAAAAAGAAAAAGACATGAGTTAGTAATTATTCGAACAATTCGGATGCATGTCCTATTTGGGGGGCCCTTTTTGTGCCAAGGGTAGGCCTAGCATGATGCAACACTTTTGGAATGAGACCCGTTAATCAAACCTGTTATTTGACAAACACTTTGTAAAAAAGGGAGAGATTCATTTCATTGCAGAAACCAGATACATCTGTTTACATCATATCGCGAAGGCGATTTCGTACAAGATCACCAAAGTTCCTAAGCCTATCTAGTACAGATTCTTTACTTTCTCTAGCATATGGCATCTTGACACGTTCGGCTTGATCATATAATTCCCCACATTTCCGCTTCATCTCTTGGCGCCTTTCTCGCTCCTTCTCATATAACCTCTTGTTTTCTTCTGCCTTTTCTTTGTGTGCTTCGACGGATTTCTTCAACTGTAACACCTCCATGTCCTTGGCTTTAACGATAGCTCTCAACTTCTCAATTTCCTCATATGGCTCATGTTGCAACCCTGTGGTGGAGTCTTTTAACCAATCCTCATATTGTGAAATTATTACACCCTTCTGTTTGAGCTCCGGAAGATAATTAATGCTTTTATCATCAGATATTGTTCTCCAAGCTTCAGTGATTTGGCTCTTCATAGGGATCTCTTTTGGACATACTCCTTTATCAAAGAAAACAGTGACTTCACTGAACTCGGAAATAGACGGTGGTCCTTGAATGCGCCCTAGTTGTCTGAGAAACCTCTTCGGGGTATATGAGACGATCCCTTGAGTACCCAGCAAGAGAACACGTTCGGATGCCTTAGTGCGAAGTATCGGTTCAAAACAGTCTGTCCAATCTAATACCCACCTAATGTTGGAATCTTGTAACTTTTCCAAGTAATCCACATATTCGGATGCGTTTTTTGGCAGATCTCCTTCGTTGACTCTTTTGGGATGTGTGACTATCCAATTATATCCAACCACCGGCAAACTATTGGTAACGGATGCTTGTCTCTTAAAATGTCCCGTAGCCCATATGTATAAAACCAAGTTCGCCCCATGGAAGAACTTTTCTCCCTTTCGACAACCAGTACAAGCTAAGAAAATATCTGCGAGAATGGTCGGGACTATAGAACATTGCTTACCCTGAATTCCCAAGAAAAGGTCATTCACAATTTTTGCTGATTTAAAGGCTATCTTTTGATCTTTTCGCGGAAAGAAATAGATCCCTGCCATAACTACCCCATATACTAGTGGCCTTTTGCGCTCCCATATGGCTTTGGAAGTGAACACAAAATCCATCCCATGCCTCTCGAATCCGTCGCGTGGCGCAAAACGTTCAAACAGAATATTCACGGCGACGCCCTGATCTGACCCTCGTAGCACTGACTCTTTCAATCCTATAATTTGACAAAATTCGGCCTTGTCGGAAGCAAACGGAAATACCAAGGCAGTTCCACGTGTGGGTAAACCAAGGAGGCCAGCTACTTCCTCGAGTGTTATAGTCATTTGGCTATTGCCTATTCTAAAAGCAGAACACTCTAGATCCCACAGATGGACTAAAGCCTCAATCAAATAACTGTTGGATTTGATCTCCTTAAAGTCTCCAATTGGCCCTAAAAACTGGGCTACTTGATGCAGTTCACTAGGTAACATGAAGGTAGGCCATTGTTGAACCTCAGTTGACGGTATTAACAATTGATAGATGCGGCGAGGGCAAGCCATCTAAAATGGAGAAAGTAGTTCGTTAATTACCTTACCTATGAGTCTCATTCCTCCAGTTATGCGATAACTTAAACGTGCAGTCCCTTGAAGGGTTAAATACCCATGGGACACAAAAAATGTTGGTTTTATTCCTAAAAACGGGATTCCCTACGTGGCGTTCCCTTTCTAGGGTTTATGCATGATGCCATTTTATTAAAACAATAAAATATGCAATTTGAAATGAAACGTGACCTAAGGAACCCTTTATTTGCCAGGGTAGGCCTAAAATGGTATGGCATTATGAATTTATGAACAAAATAAACGTGCAATAGCCTATCTACAAGGGTAGGTCCTAAAAGAAGGTCATGCCAGACCTTTTATGTTTGTGAATGCAAAAGACAAAAGACAAGGAAACGTGAGTTCAACAAATAATCACATAACACATTTGGACAATTAGATAATATAAAAAAGCAACGAAGACAGATAAGGAAAGAGGGATGGGACCCCTTCCCTCGTGAATAGTGTTTCCTAATTTAGGGTAAGGTCGACTCTACCCTAGGCAATTCTAATATGGATGCATGAGGTTGGGGTTCGCTAATGCATCTAGACTCGATAAGCTCAGGTCCCCGAGCCTTCAGACTTGGAAACCAAGGGTCATCAATCCCAAGGTTCTTTGTCGGTGGCTCGAGCGATTCCCCAAACACCGCTACGCACACATCGTGTCACGGCTACGTGTTTGAATGAATCTATCAAAAATCCTCAACCTTCGACTAAAAGCTAAAGGCTATCAACCCAAAGCTTAAAGCGGAAGATTGAGTGACCCATCGGATCGTGCTACACACACATCGTGTCGTGATCACACGTTCAAGTGGGTCACCTAATCTTAATAGGGTGGAGTGGCGTGACAAGCCACTAAAAGAAAAATAAATGAAGGGTGAAAAAATTAAAGCGTATGCACGTATGCTAGTGCTTGTTTGGAGGGGAGGGATCAAGAACCAACGCGAGGCTCTAGGGTGACACACCCCCCCTAAATGCAATGCAGGCGCGAAATAAACAAGTAAACATACATCCAATCAACCAATCATACATTCGTGAGCGAGGGAGTAGTTTGAGACGCGAGTGAGGCAAAGAGTCCTAAAAAAAAGAAAAAAAATGCAATCCTAATATCCAAAATGCAATGCATAAAAGGGGTAGAAAAAGGAAAAGAATGGCTAAATCAAATGCTTGGACCCACTTAGGATGTCCCCAGTGGAGTCGCCAAGTTGTCGCGCCCCACTTTTTGATTATGTGGTGAAAGTAGTGTAGTGTGTGAAATGTGAATGTGTGTGAAAGTGACAAAATAAAAGGCCGTGGGATTGTGAAATGCGACGATTTGGCCAAATAAAGTTCAAAAAGGGTTTTTGGGATAAAAATGGAGTCGCCACTTGGTATAGAGTTAGGGTGTACCAAGTCACCCAAAAATGATTTTTGTTTTTGAACGAAAAAGTAAACAAACCCTTTTTAAAACTTTTAGGTCTACGTAACCAAAGAAAGGGATCGGGGGTCACATTTGACAAGGGAGAAGGCAAAGGCAAAGCCTAAGGCACTCCCTTACCCTAGCCAAAGCTAGTTGCGTGACTTAGCCTCAC